AAGTGGCTGGGTGACAGCGGGGTGTGGGTGGGCCGGGAGGGGGAAGTGGTGGGGTTTGGGTGGAAAATGATGCTTGTGCGCTAGGTGAGAGGCTGGGAAAAGTGTGCGCAGAAATGAGGAACGGTGCGTTTCGGAGAACTGCTTGCTCAGAGATGACACTGATTTTGTCATGGTGACGTCCTCCGCTGTTCTTTGGTTGTGTTGATCCTCTTGATATTCAGGGAAAACGGATGAGAAACTGCTGTGCTTTTGAAAGTACTCTTTTTAAACCAGGCATCAGATAGGAGTTTGTGCGGCCCGTAGCTTAATCCTAACTGCAGCATGAGCCTGTGCCGCACCGCCCTGTCTCGGTTACTGACTGTGCATCCTGGGGGCATGAACACAGCGCTGGCGTTTCTAGTAACACGATGACAGAGCAGCGGATTGAGGTGGGAGGCAGCTGTGATGTTGCTAAATTCATCATCTGTGATGATGATACAAGTCTCTTGGCTGAACTGATGCGTGCAGTCAGGGTAATAGCCCCTAAACGTTAAAGGGTGCAGCTTGTGCACCCGCACCAAGAACCAAATGGCATTGCTACCAAATGAGATGTAACTTTAGTGCACGGAATTGAAAATACTGGGTGTTTATTGGAATCAAAGAATCTCATCTAATCACCAGCATCACCTTACCGTTCTTTTTGTAAAAAGGCAAAGCCCAAAATGTTCCATTCTGAAGGCCCAAAGCAGAACTTTTTTCTTGCTGAGGCACCAAAACATAATGTATCCATTGCCATAGGTGCTGCATGATCCTAAATATCACATCAACTTAGCGGTCTGCACAAATGCAGAGGTTCCGTTGGTGTAGGATTTCCAAAAGAATTAACCTTAAATATTTATTTAGGATCTTAATACAAAGAATCTGTGTTTGAATTACTGCGATGGAAATTGAAAAAACCTCCATAGAAATTAACTTTCCTGGTGGCCTAGCGAATAAATTACATGCTTCCTTTTAAGAGCACGTATTTAATATCCACACGTCGAGGGCTGGACAGCGTGGGCTTTGAAGACGACGGGCACCACTGACGTACGAAGTGCTATTCAGCAGTCTGCAGAGTTTTAAGAATAATTTACAGCCGAAACTGTGCTGTCCCTGTAAGCAGGGGCCGCCTGCCCAGCAGGTGGGCCAGCGTTTGAAGCTCGGGTTCCAGGGCGGTAGCTGCCTCTGGCCGTAAGTGTGATGTGCGGTTTACTGCATCCCACAGTCGTGGTGCTGTGCTCCCAGGTAGCTGCGACAAGGCGTGGCGTGTTCCTTCCATTCAGTGTGTCAGGAATGTAAAATGGAGCCAAACTTCTGCTTGCCACGAGGGGTGATTTCAGTAGCCATAGAAGTAGAAAGGAAGCTACTGTAGCAGTGCCTGGTTTGGATCAGTTCAGGAGGAGCTATTTCTGATTGCTTTGCATTTACCAGGGGGCAGAGGACTCACGCAAGCGGTTACCACAGAGCAGTTATAAACGCGTTGGATAGTAGTGTGAGTTATTTTGAGTTATTTCAACTGTTCTGAGTTCCTTTGCTTTTTTTTTTTTTTTTTTTAATCTTGCCTGTTTGTGAAGTCTGCCCTGAGGACAGGGACTTGAACTTAACCAGCGTTTGGATCTTTATTTTCTCCTCCCTCTGGCTTACGGTCGTTTTCAAGTCATCTTCCGAATCCTGGTATTAAGCATGTGCTGATGTTATACAAATAGGGATTGGATTTTGAGTACAAAACCAACTGGGTAACTCTTTTCCCTAGGGATTGAAAAATTATTAATACTGGTACTTAGCAGCATCAAAAGCCACGGGCAGATCTAGCTGCGTGCCGAGCCTGGTCGTTACAGGCTTTGATGCTTGCAGAAGAGGTGTGTTGCAAAAAACAAATTCCTTGCGTTGCTGGTTTTATTTTTTTCCAAGAAGTGGATATCAGATTGTTGAAAGGTTTGGGGATTTTATGTTCTGCCCTTTCGATCAGGTGAAGGTGAAGGTTTGCCCTGGTGAAGCTGGAACCTTACGCAGCAAGGAAAAGTGGGAAGAGTGTGTATAGTTTGGAGTCGGTAGAGCTGCAAAGGAGCATTTCCCACCAGGGCTCATGGGGAGCCAACAAGCAAAGGCATAGCTGGAAATAAAGATTGTACCTGGATTTTTACAAGAAGCTATAAAGTTCCTATGGAAAAGGAACACGGGAATCTAAATGATAAATCTAAAACGATCCTGTAAATTCCTGTAAATAAATAAAAAGGCTGAAGGAAGCAAGAGACTCATGAAGAGACCCCCATAAGCAAAGCTGGGAGGTACTGAGACAGCCGATGCTCTGTGGGAAGGCGATCCAGCTGGAGAGGGCTGGCAAGGAGACACTGGATCTCAAAAAATAAATGTGATTAGGTTAATTCAGAGGAAACTGCTTTAGATTTCCCTGCTGTGCCTAAGAATTACCGTGCAGCCAAATACTGCGGGTCAGCTGTTCTACGGTAACATTCTGCACTCACAGGATGCATTTTCTAGTGTGTGTGTCAAACCTGGAATACACAGCCCCTAAGGCACAAGGCGAGAGGGCATCTCTGACTCGGGTATCTTTACTAACATGAAGAATGGTGTGAGATTTTAGACCAATGCTTTTCCCTGACTCTCAGTAGGAAATTGCAGAGCAATCCTGTGGCTGTGCTTGCACAAGCAAACGAGTAGCTGTCATTTGTCACTGGAATGGCTTCACCGTGGCATGGGTGAAAGTTGTAAAGTAAAGATCATCCACGCCTCTAGATAATTGACACTTGCAAAAAGATCTAGCGTGCAGGTAAGGCTTGTGTTTGCCAGATAGGTTCTATGTTTTACTGAGTTCCTTTGGGTTTGCCCCAGCTAAAAGCATTATTGTTCTCCGTTTTAGCAAGGTTTCATTGGTGGCTGCTGCTTATAGTAATGTTACTTCTTTGCCGAAGACTTGTACATCTCTGAAGGGTGTTCAGCTGGCTGCTGAAAGTTTGAACTGAAACAATGCATTTTCATCAACTTAAACTGGTCCAATTTAGTTGAAGAACTTTGAGTCATCCGTTGCTTCAGAAATCTTGTAAAGAAAAGGAACACATCTGATACAATACTTGATTAACAGATTGTAACTAATCCGAGGTAGCCTTCACCGGGCATTTGTCTTTTCTGCGAAACTCTCTCTGCTTCCGTGAGCTTTCTGTTCCCTCTGAACCACTTTTAATTAAGACTATCATTACTTTGTTTTTGAAATACGGCAAAAAGATTTTCAGCTAAGGCTGATTTGGCTATGGGTTATGTGAAGCAAAACCTTCATATTTTCTGAAGTCTTTGCTGTCTCCGCTGTAAGGAGTTTGGTGGTCTGGTAATTACAACCGCAGCGTGTTACAGTGCTCTGGGGCTTCTCTCTTCTTTTGCTGTGAAGGCAAGTGTTGTACCAAGATCTGCCATACTTCTACACAGAGTAGATTTCTCCGTATTTTATATATATGTCTCTGTATTTTGTTGAAGACCAGTGATGTTTTCTCTCTGTTGCAGTCCATGAAGGCAGCCCACTGGGGGAACTTCACCGCTGTGTCCGAGATGGTGTAAAAATCAATGTCCATATCCGCACTTTCAAAGGGCTTCGTGGAGTCTGCACAGGGTTTTTGGTTGCGTTTGACAAGTTCTGGAATATGGTAATTGTTGTTCCAGCCCTTGATTTATAACTGCTGTGTTGAAAACTTGAAATTTGCAACAGGTTTAAGCAAACTACTTTTTGAGAAGATTAATGTGGTATTGTGGTTCATAAAGCTAATTTGCTCTGGCACTGAGTGCTGGCTTTCAGACTTAAGCGGTGTTTGGTGTTGGACTGGTACATCTGAGAGCTGCCTAGCCATCTTAGGGTGGCTTTAGGTGAGAAAGCAGCTTTGGAGCATTCCCAACAGCTTCAAAGGTTTTGTATAAGGACCCAGGAAGGTGGAATATGAGGAATATCAGAAGCTTCCAAAGCTTTCTCTGCAAACCCCAATCTTCTTATAGGGATAGCCACTTCTCTGTTTTCTTGCACTAACACATCACTGGAATGTCAGTGGCAAAAGCTTTTCCCTGTGTTCCACCTCATGCAGATCTTAAAGACAGGGTATGGAAAAGCACCTATTAAAAATTTGTGAGCCTGGGGCTGTGAAAAGTTTGGAAATAGGTGGGGGGGAAAGGGTTTTGCAAGTAATACAGGATGAATGCTAGGCTTTGCTGTTGCTTTTATACCTCAGTACAACTGAGATGGTTAGGAAGCCAGCTCCAAAGCACAGCTTGTTCCTAGGATGGATTTTCCTCTCAGAGAGAGCATAATTTCCTAATGCTGTGACACAAAGCTGGTCCAAAGCTTCTTCCTGGTTTCTTTTAATTTTGACGTTTCCATTTCTTTTATCTTCTTCTAGGCCCTGACAGACGTGGATGAGACGTACAGGAAACCAGTAATGGGCAAAGCCTTCTACGCAGAACCTCAGCTCACACTAACCCGGGTAGGTAACCATCTCCAGCTTTTGGGTTGTTTTTTTTTTTTTAGTATCTCCTGTTTCAAAGTAGTAAAAGGAGAGCATTGACGGGAAAACTATATTTACCTTTGAAATATTTTACCTCTTTTTATTACAGATGACTCTAAAATGACTTGAATGGGGGAGGAGGGGAACAACAGTTTTCTGACCTTTTTGAAAGTTGTTGTGGTTTAACCCCTGCCAGTAACTGAGCTCCACGCAGCCGCTTGCTCACTCCCCCCAGGTGGGGTTGGGGAGGGAATCGGAAGGGTAAAAGTGCAAAAACTCGTGGGCTGAGATACAGACAGTTTAATAGGTAAAGCAAAAGCCGTGCATGCAAGCAAAGCAAACCAAGGAATTCATTCACTGCTTCCCCTCGGCAGGCAGGGGTTCAGCCATCCCCAGGAAAGCAGGGCTCCATCACGCTAACGGTGACTTGGGAAGACAAACACCATCACTCCAAACATCCCCCCCTTCCTTCTTCTTCCCCCAGCTTTATAAGCTGAGCATGATGCCATGTGGTGTGGGATATTCCTGTGGTCAGTTGGGGCCAGCTGTCCCAGCCGTGTCCCCCTCAGCTTCTTGTGCCCCCCGGATGCCCGTTTGGTCGGTGGGGCTGGGCTGCCCCAGCCGTGTCCCCCTCAGCTTCTTGTGCCCCCCAGCCTCCTCGCTGGTGGGGTGGGGTGAGAAGCAAAAAAGGCCTTGGCTCTGTGTCAGCCCTGCTCAGCAGTAACAAAAACATCCCTGGGTTATCAACACTGTTTTCAGCACAAATCCAAAACGTAGCCCCATACGAGCTACTGTGAAGAAAATTAACTCTACCCCAACCAAAACCAGCACAAATTACTTTGGCCACATTTCAGTGTTAGAGAAGTTCCTTTAGAGTTCCTAATATCAGATCACAGCTGCTGCTACTGCTTAGCGCAATATGCTGACCTTCTGTAAGCTCACTCTTTGGTTTTTGATTTATTTGTATTCTCTGCGTTTTTTGCACCCAAGTCTGATCTGGTCCACATATGTCCTGCCAGGTGATTTGGCAGTGCATAACTCCGATACTAATGTTCATGGCGCAACAGTCTTTTGTCTCCAGTCAGCGAAACAGTGCGTCTGTTTGGTCACTTCTAGTCTAGGTACCGTGAAGCCCAAGATTCTGCATGTTGCTCCAAAGCAAGACACTCTCTAGGATCCAGCTGCAGCTGCAAAAAAAGACATTTACGAAGTTGAGAACTGAAGAGATGATAGATGAACTTCCGAACAATGAAGGAAAAAAGAAGCGACAGGGCTGCGTCTCTTGAATGTCATAGCTCTGGGCCTTTTGAACATCAGAGAAGCATCACAAAAACTTCTAAACAGTTTCGTCGTGAGGAATTTGCTTTCAAATTCCTGCCATTTAAATCTCTTTTCTGATAGATCCCACCCTTCCTTTTTTAAAGATTAGTTAAAAATAATCAAGTTGTCATTGTTCCTTTAGCCCACTCACAGGGTCTGGCTTTGCATCCTGTTGCTGGGAAGAGACAGGCTGAGAATCATTTTCATTTGTCAGTATTTCATAAAAGCTTGCCTGCTGCCAGAGTAAAAACAGATTCTTTCCCAATTTCAGCACCATGTGTTCTTACATTAATGAGTTCATACAGTGCTTTGGATCTGCTACTGTAGCTTTTTTTATTTTTCTATTGTTTTTGGTCTGCTCACCTCCCAGAATACCCGAATGGCCTCTTTTAGTTTGTTTTGGGGAACGCAAAAGGTCCTTCATTTTTTGAGTATACACTCTTTGCTGATCAAGGCCCCTTATCTTAGGGATTCAGGTCCTGCCTGCAGACACAAGGGTGGAAATCTCTCCAATACTGTCTGACAACATTGCAAGAGTGTTGGGAAGAGTGAGCTAATGGAGTAACTTGGTAGCTTTCTGTTGTTCCTGACCAAAGTTAAATGCTCCTGCTCATCAGTATTGCTCCCCAAATTAAATTCCACGGTGCTCACATGAAGACATTCGCCTTATATCACAGTTTGGCTTTGGCAAGAAAACTTAGTATTTATTGCTGGTGAAGATTCTCCACTAATTGTGTATTATGAGCTCTGAGTTAGGATCGTGTACGCAAATACCACATAGAAATGCCAAGCAAGCAGCCTCTCTTGTTTTAGGAATGTGATGATATACACAAATGTTCTTTTACAGCTGTTTGACAGACTCAAACTGCAGGACTCCTCAGTAAAGAAGGGGGCTGACTCAAAGACTGCTTCAGAGGAGCTAGCCCCGTCAAATGACTCTCAGACGCTTGGATGGAAAGTTGGATCAGGACGAGGGAGAGCAGAAGATGAGCGTGAGAAACAGAAACGCTTGGGCAGAGCTGGAGAAAAGAAGGTGCCAGGTGACAGTTTGCATCTGGCTGCCAGAGGTGAAGCTGATGTGGGTAGCAGGACTGCCCACACGGAGGGTGCCAGTGCTGGTGGTACCCGTGCAAGAAGCCAGTCACGGAAAAAAAGGCGTCCCAAAGTGGATTATCAACAGGTGTTCACACGTCACATAAACCAGATTTTTATTCGAGGAGAGAATGTCTTGCTTGTCCATTTAGCACATTGACTTGGCCGAGCCTTCGTCAGTGTATTTATTTGATAGCATGAATTGCAGCTGCAGCTCTCATTGCTATTTAGCGTTCTCATTAAGGATGATGGTACCGTGACTGGTTTCCCATTGCCGTAACAAGGTAGGGGAGATAATTCTAACTGGAGCATCCTGAGCTTGATGCCAAAGCAGCCTCCTTAGATTTCTGTTGGGGGTCTCAGGACAAGGTCAGCAACCCAGTTGTTTCAGTCAGATGAGGGAGGTAAGCACAGATTGTACTGAGTTATAGGAGCTAATTGTGGCGCACATTTAAGGAGCTTAAGGTTAGATCTCCACTGGAAATGAATCACAAATGCTATTTTGCCTGTTCTGAGTAATCTCAAGAGAAGATTGCTAATGAAACCAACAGTTCATCTGCTGTTGTTACATGGATGTCTTCTTTTCCAGACATCATTCTGACAGTCATTTTGAGGTAGTCTATAAAAAGGTGGGGTGACGTACTACTGATGGCTAATAGCCACTTCTTCATAGTTAGCTCTGTCATGCCCGGTGTGATAGAAAACCTCTGAATTGTGAAAACTGCTCTTTTTCTGTGAATGATGGCAGGATTTAAATTTGTTTTCAATGTCAAAACTTAGGCTTCTATTTGTAATGCTGTGCTTTAGCCCTGTGTCACCAGCAAGCAGCTAATGTAGCTGATCCAGGGACCTCCGTATTTGGAGTTTATTTGTGAATGTTGTGGATGCAGATGGAAAATTGTACTTTTATATTTCACCCATTAGCTACTTAGTGAATAGTGAAGTTTGCAAAGATGTAGTTTTTCTTTTCAGATTTAAGTGTTTGTGCTGAGCACAACTGTACTGTATCTAAGCGCCTTTCAAGTTCCCTCTACTGAAACCAGAGGTGCTGTGTCTCCAGCAGTTCACATGGAGCAGAAATCTTCATGGGTCTTTCCTATCTATATGAGTGATGCATCATCTAATTCCAGTTGAACTGAGCTTTGAAGGTGTGCCTAAAAATGTTTTGAAGTATAAAAGTCAAACTCAGCTCATCAGTGTTTTTATTTTAGCAAGGTTCTTAAGCTACTGTAGATCAGGCAAGGCTTCTGCAGCTATAAACTGCTTTCCAAGAGCTACATGCAGAATTTTGAGGGTAGATGAATCTGTTGTATTATCTAGTCTGTTCCCCTAGCTGTCAAAGGATACTAGGTTTCACACTGCTATTCCTGTATTCATATCAGCTACCTTATGCTTTGCAGCAGCTCCATGTGTTTAAGATGAAGCTGGGAAATTGCCAGGATAGTGGTTAGGTCTGACAATGGGTAGAACAACTTTTAGTGCTTTATTAGCAGGTCTTGTATTGCATGTAGAGGTCATAAGTCTTCAAACGGAGTGACTGTACTCTCAATCCCATACATTTCTGTTGCTGTAAATGCAGCATACGGCTTGCTTGTCGTTAGGGGTATGTCTGGTGCTTGGATGAATTACAGAAATCATTTAGCAGGAATTCCTGGACACACAAAGCAGCTGTGTGCCTCTGGGGGAGCCTGAAACTTTTATGTCAACATTTCAGATGACATGGGGCTTGGGTGGCTGATCCGCTCAGACGCTGAGCTGCAAACCCAAGTTCAGCCTGGGACAGAAGCGCCTCAGAGTAAAAAGTACTGTTGATGCAAATCAGTTTCATCAAGAGTGGAAAAAAAAAAAGAGGGGAAAAAGAGAGGGAAGGAATATCTGCAGTTTCTTATTCTATGTAGCTTTATTGCTGTAACCCCTTCCTACTATGAACTGAGACTAGTAGGTCTGACAATGGGTAGAACAACTTTTAGTGCTTTATTAGCAGGTCTTGTATTGCATGTAGAGGTCATAAGTCTTCAAACGGAGTGACTGTACTCTCAATCCCATACATTTCTGTTGCTGTAAATGCAGCATACGGCTTGCTTGTCGTTAGGGGTATGTCTGGTGCTTGGATGAATTACAGAAATCATTTAGCAGGAATTCCTGGACACACAAAGCAGCTGTGTGCCTCTGGGGGAGCCTGAAACTTTTATGTCAACATTTCAGATGACATGGGGCTTGGGTGGCTGATCCGCTCAGACGCTGAGCTGCAAACCCAAGTTCAGCCTGGGACAGAAGCGCCTCAGAGTAAAAAGTACTGTTGATGCAAATCAGTTTCATCAAGAGTGGAAAAAAAAAAAGAGGGGAAAAAGAGAGGGAAGGAATATCTGCAGTTTCTTATTCTATGTAGCTTTATTGCTGTAACCCCTTCCTACTATGAACTGAGACTATGCACTGAAAAGATTCTTCTCTTGGAGGTACTTGGTTTTCCTTTTGTGCTGTTCTTGTTTGTGTTCATGTGGTTGGCAGTTTTTCCCTCTTTTTATTTCCTTCTCCTGTCAGTACTTTGTCTCCTCAGGACCTTCTAAACTCTGGTTTAGGAAGATTATTCTTGTATCGACCCCTAGTTGTCCTGGCTTTCGGAACCTTTCCTGGTTGGCTTTCTTTGTGGTTGCCAACTGACCAGAACCCCCACAAATTATTAGCAACGTGTGAAACTAGAAACAAGGGGCTTATTTCTGCTCCTGACTTCTTGGCAGCTTTTATTGCAAGTGAGTATTTTTCTTCGTTATGTTTTTGGTTGTGGGTTGTTTTTTCCCCCTCTGCTTTCTGACCTGTTTGGTTTTATTTCAGTTGCTCGGGATGACTATCTCTGCCTCTTCCATTCATGCCAAAGGCTACTGGGTTTGACACCTCTCCCCTTTCCCGCATACTTGACCAAAGGGTGTCAAATCTCCACTCAGGCCTGTGTACTCTGATATCTAATTGAATTCTTGCTTTTCTTTACCTCATCTTCTTAGTTCTCTTTGTCTGCCTAGTTTATACTGCCTTGTGTATTAAATAACCACTACCATGAACGTTCTTGTGGCTGTGCTGCCCTCTTTACTTGTCAGTTGGCACTTCACCAAGTTCTCCGTTGCTACTAGAAGTCTCAGTGCGGAAGTTTCTCTCTGAAACCTTGCAGGTGTTTGCTGCTTCACATCTACAAGTTTCTTTTTTTAGATGTTATGAAAAATGCTGGTGCTTAGACTTGCGTTTGTGCCTTGATTTTTTTTATATCATCACTGACCTGTTCTTCCAAAATTATCACCTCAGTCAACAAACCTGGTTAAGAACTATACAGTTTGTCTACTTTTTTTGCTCTACCTCATTATTAAACTGTTCCTCCTCTATTCACATTGTTGTCTCATCTGTGGAGTTGGTTAAAATTCTCTCTTCCACTTTGGATTTAATGGCTTATTTGGTGGTTCTTCCTTTGTTTCCTACTCGTATCCACCTCTCTCGTTATTTCCAAGCTGCTTCCTAAATACAGCCTCTTCTACAACCTCAGATCTTCCAAAGAGTCTTCATTTTCCCTATTTTTTCTGACATTATATATTTTTAAAGCCTGTTGTTAAAATGCTACTTTATGAATTTTGCCTCTTTCAAACACGGCATTTGTGATTTTGTCTCTTCCAAGCATCACAATTGTAACTAAGCAAGTGGTTCTGTATCTGTGTTGTCACTTGCCTTTTTAATGCTTCAGATAAAGTTGCTCTTCAAATAAAATTGAATGTGATGTTCGCAATGAAGTCTTCTACCTCACTTAAGTATTCATGTAAAACTATTTAAAAAGAAAACAACCCTTGGAAACAAATCAGCTTTGTTTTTTTATTGTTTCTGGTTGTTTCTTCCCATGTTTTTTCCTTTTCCAGACTCAGCATAAAAATCTGTGTTCTTTGTTCAGAAAGCTGTCTGCTCCTGGCCATTCCTTTATTGCTGCAGTGTCACAACGATGGTGTGAGTGCAGACACCTGAAGTCATTACACTGAAGAAGGAAGAGTAGGAGCAGGCAGCAGTCTTAGGAAACAGAGCTGTGAGGGAGTGAAAAAGCTTTGGGCCAAATACAAAGAATTCTCTGGAAAGGATCCACATGCTGGTTGCAATCTGTCCAGTATTTCTAGGACGTTGTTCAGCCTGGCGCTCAGCAGTGATTCCTAAAGCGCGTTTGGGTGAGGTACCAGACTACTGCAAGGAGCAAAGTTTTCTGAACTACCTGTGAAGAAGTCTTGTGATAATTCGAGAATTTTTAAGACTAATTTCTAAAATAGCAGGCAAATATGAAACTTGTGAAATGTCATGATGCCGGCTGCAGAAACGATGGAATGTGGCAGTCTTGGAACGTGACGGCACAGATACGGCTCACAGTGTCACCATATATCTTTTCATTGCCAACAGAGTTCAGTAGGGAGCCAAGTCTCATGGTTACTTTACGAGTGATTTTGTTTGTACAGTGATACAATTCTAGGGACCTTTGCAGATAAGTCTGAATGGGGTTTTCATGGAACCATGGCGTAAAACCTTGCTGTGCTGTGGGGAAAGTGGTAAGGAGAAGCAGGCTGAGAGCTGCGGTGTCACCCTACTTATGGGCATCATGGCTGGGATTAGTTCTTGGGAAACTCCTTTGCACAGGTGCTTCATTTTTATTGAATGCTTCTTAAACAGGGCTGTGGTAGTAGAACAGATAGGGCCAAAGGAAAGAAAGGAGCTTGTAAAAAGTGTGAGGTTAGTTCCTTCTCTCAGCTGACTCGTCCAGTTTGTTAATTGCCTGGAAGTTTTTTTCCCAATGTAGAGACAGGTACTTAGCATGTCCTTACCAGGTGATTACTGAAGTGGTCAGTGAGTACTGTTTTCCATCTGCTTCTTGTCCTTCAGTTTCTGGATTCACCGTTTCTGATGCAGCTTTCCCTTCTGCATCATTTGGAAGCAGGGCAAGGTCTCTCAGCAGGAGTAGACTTGACTGCCCACTGTTTTTTTTCCCCCCTTCCTAAGGAATGTCACCCTGTCTGTTTTGCATCCAGATAGCCTTTGGCTATTCTTGATTTTCATACTATTCTCTGTAGACTTTTGGAATTATTTGGTCAGAAGAATTATTTATCTTGGATTGGTTGGAGCAAACTGATTTTTTTTAATTTTTTTTTTCTTTTTTACTTCTTTTCCTTCCCACAGTGCTAGGTTTTCCTAGTTTGCTGTTCCTGTGAGTTCCTTGCACCTGTGAATCACTGTGGGAGAAAAAAGATGTCCAATTTTTGTTGAATTTGACATTCTGTCCAACATGCTGCCCACGCTTAACCCTTGCTATTGCTTACTGCCACCGATGTAAGTGAGACAGGTGGAAACAATGATTTCATCCAGAATCCTGAAAGAAAATGGAAAGGCAGTAGGGACAGCAAACAGTG